TCCCAAACTATTCACTTGATTATTAGGTCTTGAAACTAGTGTACTAATAAGATTAGGCCCATATGCAGGTGCTTGAAAGGTAGGTTGATAAGTGTTTGGGTAGATGTTATTCATGGTTAAAAAATGACACTAGTAATGAACTTGTGCAATATTATTGATTGCAAGGCAATTTGCAGGATAAACATATGGTGGATATGGAACATAACTTCTGAATTGTTACCCCTTAAAACTTATCGCTTGGGCTTCGACTTTTTTTCTTAGGCATCTCACTTTTCTTGATACTGTCGGCTTCTCATTCTTCAAACTTGCCACTGTTAATGTCATTCTCAATAATTTTCCTGAGATCACTATATCATTAAATTTTTTTTGTTGCATTCCCTATCATCTTCTCATAATATGGTGTTTTCAAGATGCTAACGAATAGTATTGTCATTTCCTTCTCAGTCAAATAAGGTTAAACTTGATAAACCATATCCCTCCACCATTGGGCATACTCTTTAAAGGACTCTATTGCTTTCTTTTTCATACTTTGTAAAGAAAGATAATCAAAGGCCATATCTATAATATGACAATATTGATTGATGAAGGAGTGAGTCAAATTTTTCCATGATCAAGTGCGAGTCTTGTCTAACTTGACATATCACCTTGTAACAGACCCAGTTAAACTATCTTGGAATACATGTATGAGTAACTTTTCATTACTAGCATAGGCTACCATTTTATGATAATACATCATAATATGTGTGATAGGACATTTGGTATCGTCATACTTTTCAAATTTTGGTACCTTAAACTTTAGGGGTATCACTACATTTGGTATCAGATAAAGCCCAACGGCATCCATAAAAATCAATGTCTTCCACAACTTACAATCTCTCATCAAGCATGTTCATCATTTGATCAATTTTAGAGTCTTTCAAACTTTCAACTACCTTTAATTTCAACTTCTTATTCTCTTTAAGGTCATCTAAGTTAGGGATCGAAATTGGCTCTATTACCTTTTCAATGAAGATAGAATTAGCAAAACTTTGGAATTTCCCTTGAGTTGGTGCAGATGGCATTCTTGTGTAAGTATACCTTGTAGAGAATATGAATTATTATGATGAAATGCCTTGAGTGGACTGGGCTTGAGGTGGGCCACGACTAGAAGGATACAGAGAATCAACAATATTCTGTAATGGATGGTCATTAGGCCTAACATCTTCTTTTACAATCTTTCTTTATTCAATTTTCCTAATGCTTCAAGTATTTTGTTCAACTCCCCTTTGATTTCTTCTTAAGCCTTCTGTAACTTTTCAACACTACTTGCATTTTCTTGTTCCATTTGTTTGACTTGAACTCGAGTGTTATACTGATGGTGAGTTGGTCGAGTTATCCTTGGACCTTGATTTACTATAATTAAGGTGCACATTTAGAGTAAAGTTTATGGAACCATCCAATTATGCATGAGATTGAATGCAAAAATGCATGAATGCAATAAGAAAGATTTAATGATATAAATGTATGCATATACAATAAAAGAAAAAGGTTAGTAAACATGATATATAGAAAGAATAATATTTACAAAAAATAATATAAAGGGTTAGTATGCAAATACAAAGAAATTATATAAATTTACAAGCAGAATAAATGTCCTATCACATGTCTTATTAAGGATTTTCTAACACTAGGAAAATCATGGCTTTAACTTAAGTTTGGACCCTTAGGGTTTACTTAGATACTAAGTTCAAAAGTTTAACAATTTAAAAGTTTTTAAATTGTTCCTTACATCATTGTCCATTATAGCTAGTAAGGCACCCAAATATTCACTCATTAGGTTACAAGCGGAAATAGTTCAATTTAAGTGGGAGTTTTTCACTAACCCATGTGGAGCCATGAAATCTCACGAAGGCGTATGTACTTTACTCTTTCCTAAAATATAGAACTTTGGTGTAGAGCTCATGTTATGCATGTGCAAATGAATAAAAAATATATAAAATGAATAAATAAATAAATAAAATACAAACAAGGAAATTTTTTTCTTAAATTAAGTTAGGCTTGAATAATAAGAAATCATTTACTAGCCTGACTCTCAATCTCTTCAGTAAAGTCGTCAAACTATTATAACGCATAAATCCATAGACCTAGCACTAGATATAGACTTAGGAGTCACCCCTAATCTTTTTTATTTAAATGTGATTGGACACATGACTAAATCTGTCATGTTTTAAATATGTCTCGAACTTGATTCGGGTATATTTAAAAGATAGATTCTGGTCTACAAAATCAAATTTTAGGTTCGGGAGTGCGATTACATGTGAGAAAGGTTATAAACCCCTCATAGAGCTCATCTAAAGGATGGTTCCAATTTGATTTCGCATTATCCAAGCCCTAAAGTCTCTTTGAAATTTTACCAAAAATTTAATTATTAAAAATTGACCTTAAAATTACTCCAATAGTTTGGTAACAATTTAAGATAATTTTTTTACCTCAAAAGTATTGGATTCATTAAAATTTTTTATAAAAACTTTTATTTATAAAAATAATTTATTCTCAAAAACTTCTTCCAATCTGTTGATAAGATTTTCTATCAAAGATTATCCTTTAATCTGTTGATAGAATTTTTTAAATATATATTTTAAAAAAATTTATTAAATCTTCCAATAGTTTGTTAAGACTTAATTCAATATTTTAAATCATCAAATAGTTTAGTAAGATTAAAAAATATTTTTTAAAAACTTTTTTTTTAATTTGAAAGGAAAAAAAATAATCAAAATAAACAAAAATCATCATGTAAATAATATCATGCAATTATAATAATATATCATGTAATAATAACAACCATGCAAAAATATTATAACCATGCAATAATATAAATGATCATGCAATTAATATAAAATATCATACAAAAAAACAATAATATTAAAAATAAATAAATAAAGCATCCTTACCAAAAATTTTTCTTCATTCCTTAATTTAATAATAATAATAATAATAATAATAATAATAATAATAATGATGATGATGATGATGATGATGTAACACATAAAAAAATTTTAAAAATGGAAATAAATAAAGAGAGAAAAAATTAAAATCAAAATCAAAAATAAAAAAAATAAATAAAAACCTATGATTGGGTCAAGTTTGAAACCAGGTTGCACACAGATCCTATTCTTGTTCATACAGATCCTAAGTTCCAAACGGTGTTGTTTTGGCTTGATATAAAAGGGACCTCTCAACCATTTTTCCTCAAAATGCCTTCACTCGTTCTCTTTCTAACCTGATTTTCCTATGACCTATTTCTAAACAGCCCTTACCGAAAACTTCAATGCCACCCAAATCCAAGCCAAAAACCTAGAACCCAGCATTGAGAAATTTGACTAGCTGCCAAGAACTTTAAATCAAACCAAAAAAACCTACAACCTAGAAAACGATTGCCGCCTTCTCTTTCGACCACCATGAATTTGACAAAAAAAAAACTTCAATATTCAACCAAAAAATTCAATATAAATCTAAAAAACCTAGAAATTTCCATAAAAAAATCCCCAAAATTCATTAAAAATCACACAAATCCAAAATTCCCTAAGAAAGACCCAAAATTTGAAATCAATTCAAACTAAAAATAAAATCCCAAAAAAACCAAAATAAAAAATCCAAACCCCAATTTAAAAACTCAAAATCCACAATCAATGCCCAGAACCAAATCCACGTCCAAGAACAAAGTCTAACCAAAAACTGATTTCAATAATACCAAGGATACAAACCTAAAACCAGTACCCAAAATTAGAAACCCATAATTTTTAACACTCTAGTTGATTGCCCTTCATTGATCCCTCTTTTTATGATTTTTGTGTCTCTGTTTTATAAAGATTGAATCCCTTTTTATTTAGGAACTAAATCAAATTGATTTTGTGATTAAATGTGTGATTTGATTTGATTTTGCAATCAAAACACAATCCCTCATTTTTTTTTTATTTTCATGATTTCCTTCCCTTTTTTTTTTAACTTTTGACTTTTTTTCTTTTTTTTGAAAACAAGTAAAATTAAAATAAATAAATCAAATTAAAATTAAAACTTACCTATTAAGTCTGAAGCTTTCCAATCTGGCCCAATTCACAACCGAAAATTCATTTTTGATCTTGAAAAAATTTCGAACAAAATGAGGTGTCTACATAAATTATGTATGATGGCCTAATTCACAGTTGAAAACCCATTTTTGATCCTAAAAAAATCTCAAATAAAATGAGGTGTCTACATAAATTATATATGATGGTAAAAAATTACATTCTTTTAAAAACATGATTATTTGTTAAAAATTGTGTTTGAAAAATTCTGAATGTCTAAATAGACACATATTTGAATTATTATGTTTATACAAATAGACATCTATTTGGATAGTCTTATCTATACAAAAGAGATATTTATTTTATTATAAATAAATCTCTTATTTTAGAAAGTAGTACATTTTTCAAATATAACAATTTATATTAAATTCTCCCTTCATTGTTCAAATAAATTTTAAACTACTTTCATAAAATTTTGTTGCAGAATTTCTTTATAAAAGGCTAATAGTTCTTTTATATATAGGTGAATATTTAGTGGATTATTTTATCAGTACAAAACTTAGTCAATCATCCAACTTTATTTTCTTTTCTAAGTTTATTGTGAATAACTATTGTACATATAAATTAATTAAATAGAGAAATCGAATAAAATTAAAAAAAAAAAGTAATACTATTACCCTCCTTGAAACTTTTTTTCAATTTTTCATGACTTTCTATGCCCCAGATTCTATCAAGCAGAATCCCGAATGAAATGATGTATAAAAGTAGAGCCTAAAAAGCTAAAACTCTTTACTAATCTTACATTTCTTGCCTCTTTTAGCAATAGAACCACCTAAAAAATCATCAAATGAGCTGAATTGAACTGAAAAAATGGTATCCAAAAGAAGCAAAATCGTAATTTTTAGTCGCAACCCATTTGAAATTGGTGAAGGAAAAGAAAGAAAAGAAGGATCCTGCAAGTGCCTTCAACATCTTTCGTGAGCTTGAAAACCAGATTTTTCCGTAGGTTACGGCCGAAATGGCGTGGGTGCAACACCATGTTCCTCTCCAATACTATGTGAAAAAACAATTTTTTTTTCTTTTTTTTTTTTTCTAATTCGTCTAAAGTTGTGAACTTGGAAATTTCAATCATGACAAAGGCCAATACTACTGTGGAAGGCGTTGAAGCTGTACTTTGTCCCATTTTATACGTCTCCTTTTATTTTCACGTATTTATATTTATATTTTAATTTTTTATAAAATTAATTTCATAATTTTAATGTTGCAAAGTTAAATTAAAATATTATAAAAATTAAATTGAGTATATAGAAAAAAATTATATTTTTAGATATTAAAAAATAAATAGTTTTGAGACATTAAAAAAGAAAATGAGGATTTAAAAAAGGAATGAAAGAACTAACATGGAGGGATTTAGTCCAAAATAATGTTATTTTTCTTGTTTGTAAGTTTAAATTAATATTGAAGCTAAATGTTAGTACAAATTTTGAAAAAAAAATTGTCTAACTGAATAAAATTTTCATTCTTACTTTTATACTATAAATTTGATACCAAAGGGATGATTGGATGTAATGACTAAATAACAGTAATAATTATTATAAAATTCCCAGTCATAATTTTGTTGAATTTAAATTCTGATGATTAATTTGTCTGAATGTTAAAGCTAACAAAGTTAATGGCAACTTTAACTTCTTTTAAATCCCTTTTCTTTCTAAAAAAAAAAAATTAGCGAAATTCTTTTATTTTAAAAATCATGCATTACTATTCATTTTTCAAAGCAGGTCAGACAGCTGAGCTTCTTCCATGTACTGAAGTACCATAAGAGAAAAGGTCAAAGACAAATGCAGAGAAAATCAAAATGGAACCAGAAGAAGCAGTGTGAAGGCAACATTGTACCATCAATTAGCTGGTGGCATTAGACAGCACCAATACTAGAAATCAATTCATCATAAAAATTGGGCCAAAAGGCGAGTCATGATTTGCAAAAAAATACCATGATCAACGATAAAGGCTACTGCTTGAATAAAAGTTCTTAAGAATATCTACAAGATACCAGTGATATAAAACTAAATAGTCAATATGCTTGAAGCAAAAACTCAAGCTTTGTCATCATCATGATGAATTAAATCCTTAAGGACAGTGACAACACGAATTCTAATTGCAGGGCTTGCATTCTATCCAGCATGCCTTACCACACCTCTTAAAGCAGTCAAAATGGCCTGCCTTTCTCCAGAATCCAATGCCTGAACAGTCATATATCAATAACTTATATCAATAAATAACCCATACAAAGGCAAAATGTCAAAAATAGTCAACCCTGGTATTTAGTGTACTAAGCTTTCCGAGTGCTACAGCTGCACTTGAGCGTACAGTCCTGCATCCAAACACTTACGAATTTAAGAAGCAACAAGCAAGCAAGAAAAACAAGGTAATATATAGGGAACTAACATGCAAATAACCGACACATAAAATATATAAAGCCCATATAGTGAAAGGAAATGAAACAATAAAGTCATGGATAGAAAAAGCAAAGCCTATAAAGTTTAATGAAAATATGTTTAATACAATTAATTAACACTGACATAGCATGACCAGAACCAACCTCACAAACAAAACCAAAGTTTGCTTTGAAAATAAGAAGTGGAATGGTACAAATCTTAGTTTAAGTGAGACAAAGACTACAAACTTTTAGGAGAAGTTTGATGCTGCAGGTAATGACCAGAGAGCTCAACACACTTCCCATTGCTAGTTCACACTTCATTTTCCTTGTGTTTCCAGCTACAGAGTAGCAACATATAATAAAATATTAGTTATTGATAAGACAACACAGAAAATATGAAAAAGGTGGGTTGAGCATATGTTTAGTGTACTAATAGCATACAACTACATGGGGCTTTGTTCTGATAATACCAAAGAAAAATTAAACTAAATTAAACTCAAGCAGCAACAACCTCAAGGAGATAGACACTAGAACTTAGATATCAAGAGAAAACTTACCACACATCAGACAATGACAGTCTTTAAAACCCCTTTGCTCCTTCCGTTAGGACACAGTTACCAAGATTTCTTTTTCTTTTCCTAATATATTAAGAATCCACTGAAAATGCCCGCTTGATTCCCAATTTATCAAATATCAAAATCACAAACAAAGCAAAAAAGGAAAAAGTACACCAAGATACCAAATTTCCCACACCACAAACAACTTCCTGCTCCCTCCTCGGCTCTTGAAGGCAGTGGGTTAGTTGTAGAGAGAGAGAGAGATGATGCCTGCTAGAAAATATCATATTGATAATTGTCGTATGGTCAGGGCAATTAGACACATGGCGAGGATTATTTCCTTTTCCATTCACACAACATGATACAAAAAGTTACTCAGTCCAGTAATTCTCTCAGTATAGCCCCCCTCTCTTTCTCTCAAGTTCCTCCACCATTCCATGATATTATCAGTTCACCTTCATAGACTGCGAAATTAATGGGTCCTCAAGACATGTTATGGCTAAGATAATGCAAATACATCCACCAAGCTGAAACATTAAAAAAAATATTCTCATCAGTCCCCACAAACCCCATCATTTCAATAAAATCCAATTACTATCATCACTCTTATTTAAAAAATCTAATCCAACCATACCATGATTCTCGATAAACTGATGAAGTTGAAATGGAGTTAACTAAAACTGCACACTCTTTGAGGGTAAACAAAGAAGCTAATAGATTGAAACAGAAAAATTAAGAAATAGAATTTCGAAAATCAACCAAGATAATAAACTTAGTATTCACCAAGTTTCATTCGCCTGCCATTACTATCATCAAATTCCAACTACACCAATAAGATAAAGAGAAACAGAGTATGAGTGTTAAACCTATATATATTACAAAGAAACCTGAGTCAAACTTCTTTCCCTCCAAAATCTGAACTTATTATTCAGTTATCCTAACACATAGTCAGCATTTGGTAGGACAACTTAATCTAGAAATAGTGCACATATAAACAACAAGCAAACATGGAGGCACCTTCATCAGTTTCATTTTTGCAGTCTCAGCACTGTTTGGATACACGTAGATATTTATATGTTTTACAAAATTAACAAAATGTAAATTCTTTCATATTATAGTACCATTAAATGTAGAAAGGATATGGAAAAATTAGATTTAACAGCAGCTTACTGCAATCATTCTACAAATTGAATCTTAACAATCTAAGACTAAGATGCTAAAAGCCTAAAACCGTAAAGTAGCATTCTATGGCTTCTCCATGATCAAGATACATAAACTGTTTGAATATTCATAAAACAACATAGGCCATCAAAAGACAAAGAGCAGCACAAAATTGAAAGCTAAATCCAATACCACAAGACCAAAAAAAAAAAAAAGATGATTACTAAACTGCAAGAACAAGAAGCATTTGAATTCCACTTAAAAACTAGTTTACTCGGAACTGTTGAAGAAGACAAATCACTGTGCCGCTAGAGTTTTCTTCTTTTTCTTATCCCTTATGTCAATAGCACCTAACTTTTTCAGTGCAGTCTTAGTTTTCTTGTTCGAGACATTGTCAGTTTTGGTTTCATCTATTCTCTTAGCTCCAGAGTTAGTCTTATTACTATTTTCATCCATGTACTGAACTTCGTGTATCCTCCCCTTGTTTTTCTTCTTCTTCTTCTCGTGAGAAGCATCTTCTTCTTCTTCAACTTCCTCTTCTTGATTTTCTTCCAAGACATCCTTAGTAGAAGAAGGGTGATCAACTTCAGACAGAATCTTCAAACGCATATCAGGCATAACCTGATAAAAAGGAAGCGCCATGCTGTCAAGCAACTTCAAATGAAAAGATCTTATATTGCCCCACTGGAAGGGCACAATCTCTGCAATCCCATTAATAGCAGCTATCACATTTTCAACAATCTCCTTTTTCCCCATGGAAAGTTTCCCCACCTTCACCACGCTGCAAGTTCCACTACTCAAGAACAACATAGCAGAGGCACAAGCCTTGTGAATCTGCTCCTTCCAGTTGTTGTGCTTGAGGTCTACAGGCACTGGAATCTTCTTCTTTTTGAAAAACTGTTTCCCCAATAGCCGAGGCAGAAGCGGGATAATCCTCTTATCCGCAAAAAACATGTCATAGGAATCGCAGAGCTTTCTTTTGGCCTCGAAGGGGCGATAATCGGTCTTGAGCTTGGACAGCTTGACCACCTTGCTGATGGGTATGTATTCGGACTTAATTTTCTTGGACGCAGCATCTTTAGTGAGGCCTGACTTGGGTCGGTCATCAATGACCATGCAAAGCTCGGCAGGATCCGTAGAGGGATCGATGAGGGGGTGCGGGAGAAGCACTTTGTAGGGATTAACGCGAGGCTTTTGAGGATTTTTCTTGAGGCTGACGATCAGATAAAGCAATTCATCTTGCTCGAGAAGTTGAGGCTTTTGGGTATGGGACTGAGAATCTCTCCATTTCAGCAGCGCATTCACCGCTTTCTCCACTGTTTTTGGGCTCACTCGAGAAGAAGCTGCCTCTTCGCCCATATTCTTTACAAATTACAATCTATCTCCTTACCAATTCACTGCAATTATTGTTAGGGTTTTAAGTCTCAACCATATGGGCTTTTAGGGCTTTACAGGGACACGTGGAGCGCTACCAAGCGGTGGTAACACAGGTTCCCGGTTTACCATTGTTTTTCTGTTTACCCAGATTTACTAATTTTAAAATAATAGAAAAGTAAAAAATAATAATAAATGCATAAATGTGGTCGGCAAAATAATTTTTTTTTGTTAAAATAATTAAGGATAGAGTCAAAATAAGATATGTATTTAATAATTTAAACAAATAATTACAGATCATGTAATTTCAATAAAAAATTATTGATTGAATTCAAATTTAAAATTTTTTTATTAATAAAAATAAATGTTAATTAATTAAATTAACTACTTATTCGTTGTAGATAAAATATAAATCAATATATATGAAACTTGAAGAGGTTCAGTTTTTGTTTTTGAACAAATGAAACATACATGTGAAATAGAAGTCTTCATGAAACTTACATGACAATTAAGTTAGAGGACACACCATATATTAGGCTCAAGTACTGTCACTTTGTAACCCGGCTCTCGCCCGAGGGCAATTATTGTACCCAACATTAACTCCTCTCTTGTTTTGCAGTATTATTTGAAACACGTCGCAATAGGTTTTTTTTTTTTTTTTTTTTAATTACATTGACAAAGCCACGCATTGCAATAGTATTTGAAACAGATATCTTTGCCTCCTTGACACTATTTATGAAACTACTCAAATTACAAGCATAATGAGGATAAAAATAGGAAAAAAGGGTTTATTCAGTTGCTGAAAAAAAAGAAAAAAGAAAACACATTCTCTTATACACAGAAGTCAAAATAGCTCCGCAAGGAGTTACAACATCGGCTAATACTGGTTTGTCTTTTGTATATTCTACAGTTTGATTTCACATTATTTAACATACCATTAGTTACATCAGCTTTAACTTATAAGTCCAAGTGTAATATGTCTGCATCAAGACTAAAGCTCTCCAAGTTTGTTGAATGCAGGGATGCTTCACTAAAATATCTTGACAGGATGAGCCTCGCTACGTTCTCAGCTGCAACAGCACTTGTCTCCATGGTACTGGCTGCATTCTCGAATGCATTTACGTAATACAACTGTTGACCATCCAAAATAAATGGTGCAAATACTTCCGGAGCTTTATAATGTGGATAGGCTCCCCAATTTATTCGAATTGTCTGCAGCCTTGCACTAATAATACCAGCAAATTATATCCATCAGCATCTAACAAAGTAAAGGTCTCGAATCAATTTTTAAAGTTTAATAACAAGGTCTAGTCATGCCTTTTGGTTCGAAAGGGATGGAGTGGGACAAGGAGGGTGAAGCATTGAGTATCAATCCTAAAACATTGAATTTATATCAACTCAAAGTCAAAGACAAAGAGGAACAGGGACAAGAGTATATCTAACAATTTAAAACATGATAACAAGATATGAAAACAATACAAAAAAAGTTACGAAAATGACAGATTAAAATTTTAGCAAAAATTGTATATGGGTTTACCAAACACCAAAAATATATTTCGTGTTTTTTGTGTCAATATGATTTGTGACACGTAATTTTTAGGTAAAACATAACACAATACATGAATTATTAGTATTTTATATGACACGAATATACGAATTGCCAGATCTAGATAGGGGTGTCAAATAACTGTTGTTTCCCTCATGCAAAAGAAACCTGCAAGGGAAAGGGATCAAGACATCTCAGCTACATCTATGTCATGGATACCTATGGTCTAATTAAAGGTCCAAATCTTCATATAAGTATCTAAGAAGCAGTCCCAGATACTTTCTGCAATACAACTATCTAACAGGAAGAGCATAAATAACATTAACAGGACAAGCCATATAATAGATCTAGATAGGCGTGTCAAATAACTGTTGTTTCCCTCATGCGAGAGTAACCTGCAAGGGAAAGGGATCAAGACCACACACATCTCAGCTACATCTATGTCATGGATACCTATGGTCTAATTAAAGGTCCAAATCTTCATATAAGTATCTAAGAAGCAGTCCCAGATACTTTCTGCAATACCACTATCTAACAGGAAGAGCATAAATAACATTAACAGGACAAGCCATATAATAAAGCATCTAGCCCAAGTCAATGATTGTGCTGCAAATAGAACACTAGGCAAAATAGTTTTATGGACAATATGATCTCTTTCCCAGCCCTAACCCCTAGGTAAAATGCTAATGGTTAATTCAAAATATTACCTAAAAATGCTATCCAGCAACGCATCTGTCATTGGTTCTCGAGAAAATACTTTATAAGTTACATCTTTTTCACCATGTTGCTTGAGAACTGAAATGCTTGAGAATGGAAGGTCAGGATCCTCTAAGGTGCCAACCAGTTCTGGAATCTCTGCAACAGTACCCAGGCCAAAATATGCCTTGCCAAGAGAAGACACAAATGTCATACAGAACAAAAGCAGCAGGTCAGAACAATAAGAAATCAAACATTAGTATAGAAGTTCACTAGAGAAAGCCATTACTGGATTCACCAGAGTACTTACTGGATTCAAGAGGCCTCTCACAAACGTTGCATATGTATGCTGCAATTTCCTCTCAGGAATTGAAACTAAAGGTTCAAATTGGATATTTACTTCATCAAGGGGTGTAGCAATCACTGTGACTTCACATGAATAACTGTTTCCTTTCGTGGAGCTAAGTTCATAATATTCTCCAAGGTAAGAGATGGATTCTATTTCTTCATTCAGGTGCAAAGAAACGTCAGAACTATTAATTAGTCCAGCAGCCATCTGCCAGTTCCCTCCTTCAATGGACCATAATCCTCCCCCAGATCCTGCCAATGAAACTGCCCCAGCAAGTCCGCTAATATAAACACTTTGACCATAATTGATTCTTGTTATAACCTTCACAATGCAACATAATTATGACTTGTTATAACTTCCAAACAATCAGCCTATTTGGGGCCAATTTCAAATTATAACATATGGGTTTAACTTTTCAGCCACAACCATAACCTTAACTAGAATTAGAAGTCAATTTTCCAAAGACACAATAAATCCAACAAAAAGGAACTCATTAAAATTGACTTCAGCAAATCTAATTTACTGGAAAAGATCTGTTTGGTAGGGGGATGAATATAATGGACACACGCCAACTAAATGCAACAGTTTCCATGTGTCTTATTTCTGTCTTTAGCGCAAATTTCATACAAATAATTACAAGAAAATTGAAAGAAAATAACTTTTACAAACTGAAGCCAGGTCATTTCAATAGGTGAAGCGGCTTCCAAAGGTTCATACACAATATAACCTCATGGATTCTGCTAATTAAAGTTGCCCAACTTTATGAATTTCTATTACATTGAATCTACATTACATCGAAAATGCAACCTTAAATAACTAGATAAAGTAACTGCAATCACTGGAATCACCAAAATATCACAACAGGCAGAGATCTAACTCCACATGTACTTGCATCAAGCTTAAAAAAATAACGTCACAGGTCAATAGGTTTTTCCTTTTTTTTTTTTTTTGTCCATCAGGTCAGTGGCAGTGCTTTTGAGGATGGAGAGCATGTAAAATCAAGTGGCTTAAAATATATATTGGAGTTAATATTCGTCTATTAAGTGAAAATTTTGTCATAGTTCTTTCCAATATTTTTGGTTCAGGACTTCTAGAATAGAATGCTGTTTATGTCACAAAGTTATCATGTTTCAAAGATAACAAATTTCAAGGCATCCGAACAGAGTTTCTTCCACCACATCGATCAAAAAGCATTTAGTAGAAGGCAAAGATTTTTGAACTCAAGATATCAGTATCACTAAGTAAAAAATATTCCACATAATTCTAAAATTGTTTAACATTTACAATAGATAATTGATTGATGAAAAGTGAAAACCTCTTGGAACTTATTAATCAGTCATTTAAGCAGAAATATCCCAGCTAGTCTCCCTTCAATACACACCCTATAGTCTAAATCAGATTGCTCCCCTTCACTACAGTTAAATAGGTTTAATGAATTTGATGGCAAAATCAAGACCTAATCCCTTTGAAAGGAAGCTAACTGTATTCTCAAAGGTATTAGCAATTGTATCAACTCTAGGAACCATATGCTATTATTTAGATTGACAGGGAAACATGAATCCATTCAAGAAAAAAAAAAAAAACATCTCGACACATCAAATACAATGTAGAAAGACAGATATCTAAGCAACTTATAATTCTTACAGTGACAAGCTCCTCTATCAATAAGGGAGACAACTTGATGTCAATGAGTTCATCTTGCAAAGTTCGAGTTGTGAGATTATATAAACCAGCCCATTTAAGCATCCCATCCACTGTCTCAAAGATCGGTCTCGTTTCAGGGCTTTCATAGTACTTTAAGAAGCTATCCACAGTACTCTGCACCACATCAACACTTCAGTCTCACATTAGGAACTGAGATCATGAATAGAAAATATAATCAGCTTCTGTTTCATTGCTGGTTTTATTATTTACTGTTGGTTTTCTCAAAAGTGAATGCTAATATAATGCAAAATTACAATTAATTAAAAAAAAAATGACAAAAATTGACACTAACTTCACCATAATTGTTTTATAGTCTAAAAGCATAATGTCATGAATGATCCTGATCTATAGTGAAATGTTCAATGTGGTACTTGAACTTTAAAAATATTTAACGTGGTATTTGAATTATGAATTTGTTAACTAATATTATATTTGGAAAGCCGTTTGTCAGCTACATATTATTATTTGGAGCTAACAATATTAAAAATGAATATCATATTAGTTAATAAATTCATAGTTCAAGTACTACATTAAAGAATATTAAAGTTTAGGCACCACATTGAACACATCACTATAGTTCAAAAGTTTAATCCTAATACAAAAATACAATTATAATACAATTATTATATATTTTGCTATCAATAATAATAATGATGATGATGATGAAGAATGTTGCTTGCTTCTGCTCGCATATCCATATGCATCTTCTTTACTGAAGTAAAAGTGGAGTAATAGTAAATAACAAAAAGCAAGGAAAATGGGAAAAATAATCCTAGGACTGGGACTAGGAGCAACGTATAATTTTGTTTATTATGTGCAAGTTAAAAAGAGAAAGGCAGTCATCGAATAAAGAAGTCAACCTCAACGAAGCTGTTCATCTTTAGAAGGGAGAATCCATAGCGGAAAAACAAGTAAAAAGAATTGACAAAGGAAACAATCTTCTGCACCAACGGAAACTTGGAATCCACTTGAAGGGTTTTGAAAACAAACTTCTTTCCATCCCAGATCCCAAACGACATCGTATCATCATCCTCCGAGGAAGGCCGCGATTTGACCTTCAACCCAAGAAGCTTCGTGTAGTTAAGCGCGTGGTAGTTCTTGGGGTGAAGAATCGAAGCACCGGCCTCAAAAGTTTCACCGCCAATCGAGACAGTGGCCATGCGACCACCGACGACGGACCCACGCTCGAAGATCTTGAAGTTAGGAGGGTTGGGTTGGGAATGTGTGGGATGGAAGTAGCGGCGTAGAAAGTGAGCGACGGAAGAACCGCCGATGCCGCTGCCAATGATGCAGACAGTGGGCGGAGATGCCGAATTGGTGTATAGGCAAAAGATGAGAGGTTGGAAAGAGAGGATGAGGAGTACAAGGAAACTGGGTTTGGAAGACATAGCTTTTTTTTTTCTTTTGAACTGTTTCTTGTTGTTGTTAAGGTAGCAGGATGTTAAAATATACAAAGTGTAAATGTGCTAATCTCAGTCTATTTCCATGGTGCTAATACAGAGATTCATATACTGCGAGCACCGCGGTTTGGACTTTGAAGGTCAACCGCGACTTTGGCTTTTGCAGTACGCTTCCCTTTAAAAATACCTTTAAAAATAAATAAATAAAAGGATTAAACACAAAAATTATCTTCGTACTTTATAATTTAATTTGATATTTAAAAAAATAAAATTCATAATTAACTATTTAATATTCATTTCGTCATATATTTTAATATTTCAAACTAATATCTTCACTTAAGTTGCTTATATGATCTCAATATCAAAAATTATGACGTGTCAAAAAAGATTGATCACCCTCGTATTAGTTTAGAAAAAAAATTTAAAATTTCAAAAAAAAAATCCAAAGGTATCTAAAAATTTAAAAAAATATGAAAACATTTAAAAAAAAAAAAAACATTTTAAAATTTTAAATTTTAAAATTTTTTGAAATTTAAAAAATTGGAAAATACGAAAATCATAAAAATTTCTACAAATTTAAAATTTTAAAAATTTCCTAAAATCTAAAAAATCTGTAACTTAAGAAAATCCAAAAATTGAACAAAGAAAAAAAATTCAACAATTCAGAAAATTCAAAAACAAATTCTAAAATACTAAAAAAATTTAACAAGACTGAAAATTTTAAAAACAGCAAAATTTTCGAAAACGAATCCCAAAATATCAAAAAATATGAACAATTTTAAAACTTCTTTAAAAAAGTAAAAGAAAAAAGAAAAAATTTTAAAATTTTAAAATTTCAAAATTTTCAAAAATTTTACTATAAAATTTTTAAGAATTAAAAAACAAATCTCATAAAGTTTGAAAATTTTTGACAAATTAAAAAAAAAATGTCAGAACATGTGAATTTTTTTAACAAATTTCCAAAAAAAAAAAAGAAAAATTTTGAAAAAAAAAACATATTCCAAAAAATCCAAGAAAAATCTAAAAACCTAAAAAAATCTTGACAATTTCAAAAATTTGGGAAACAAAATTAAAAAATTAAATTTTTTAAAGAAAATTTCAAAAAAAAAAAACCTAAAATCTAAAAATTCTGCAAAAAGATCGCATAGGACCAAACTTTATATTTTATTTTATATATTCATATTTTTTGAATTATTTTGAATTTTAAATTTTCTCATTTTTTTTTTTTTTGAAGTTTTAGTTTTTTATTTTTATGATTTAATTTAATATTCAATATTTTAAATTTTAAATTTTTAAAATTTTCAATCTTTCATATCTTTGTCTTTTTTTAATTTTTTTAATTTTTCATTTTTTTGGGAACTATTGGCATTTTTATTTTTGAAAGTTTTACATTTTTAATATTCTAGTTTTTTTAATTTTCTTAAATTTAAGAATTTGTTTTTGAATTTTTTTTATTTTTGAATTTTTCATATTTTCCTTTTTCAATTTATTTGGAAATTTGTTAAAATTGTTCAAAGTTTTTTAAATTTGTGAGATTTTTTTTTTGGAGATTTTAGGATTTTTTGAATTTTTTAATTTTTCTAAAATTGTTTTGATTTTTTGGATTTTTTTAACTTTTTAAAATTATTTTTTTTTTTTTTTTAATTTTCTTTGAATGTTGACGTAGCAATGATAATGTAATGATAAGTAGACTTTTTGACACATCTTGTAATTTTATAAGGTATTGATGTCACAACACTAATTTGACTAATAATATTAGTCTGCAGTATTATAATGTGTGACAATGAAAATTCAGGTATTTAATTATGAATTTTATTTTTTTTAGATATTAAACAACTAGAAATGTATAATTCAAGGTTCATTTTTGCATTTTATCCTAAATAAAAATCCACTAGTGATAGGTCACAGCTAGATCTCAATTAGAGCCAAGATTAAGAAAGGGAAGCTAGGATTTGGATGAAGAAACATATATGTAGTAAACCTTAAATTTTTAACAGAATAGATTTCTCTGGAAAATTGTAGCCTAAAAAGAGAAAACTAGGTTTGTTTTTTAAAGGAATGCCAAACAATGTGTTGGATTATGGGGTCCAACGGTCTCTCTTAGAGACTTAGTATGTCAGTTCATTTAGGTGAGGTATCCCATGGTAGATCAAATTTTGGTATATGGCAACCCAACTTATCGAGGACCAATGGGTAAGATATCTCAAAAAGGCTTTACAAAGCCTCTTATATCCATCTATAGCTTAGTATAAGGCTCTATGCTACCAAAAAGAATAAGGAAATAGAATTACGCATTCACTATCAGCTATAGTTTTTGGTGTAGTGGTAAGTGTTTGATCATAAAAACTAGTATCAGAGAGAGGTTGCAGGTTCGAATCCCCCAAGTGCTACTAGGGGGAGATTGTTAGATTATGGGGTTCAACGATCTCCTTTAGGGACTCAGTATGTTAGTTCATCTGGGTGAGGTATCTCATGATGGATCGAATTTCAGTGTATGACAACCTAACTTGTAGAGGCCTAAAGGGTGAGGTATCTCAAAAAGGCTTTACGAAACCCCTTATGTCTACCTGTCACTTAATACGGGACTCTATGCTGCCAAAAAGAATAAAAAAAATAGAATTGTGCCTTCATTATTTGCTATAGCATTTGATGTAGTGGTAAGCACTTGATCTTGAAAACAAAATTGTTGGCCTTGAATTGATCCTTATTTTGAAATGACAAAACATTAAGCTAAATAAGCTTGATCAAGATTTTGACATATTTATTTAGTACATGTTTTTAAATTTTATATTTTGGTACTAAATAAATAATATAATTCTCAAAGTTTAAACAAACTTTTTCTTTATGTTTTCTTATTTCTTAAATCAAAAATATCTTTAAACATTTTTTATTTGAGCTTCAATGAAAGTCCAATTGTTGTATTTAAAGTGAATTTATTTATTTTGGACTTAATACAATTTTGATAATATTGGTTTTGAGAAATAGATTAACTTAAGAAAGTTATTTTACAAGAACAAAATTTTTCAACATTGAACTTATTTTATTTTTTTTGTATTAATTCAGAAAGATTTAATATTTGTGTTTTATATGGTTAGAAAGCTCTTTGAGTCTACTTTCTAATGGATTAAATAAAATCTAAATCCAAATTTTTTAAGAAAAGATTTTAAACTTTTTACTAGACACATTGCAATTGTCTAAAACTCCAAAAAGGGTAGTTTTAAAAATTTATTATAATTTGTATACAATGAATTAGTGATAAATTTTATATGGATAGAAAGCCATTTTCAATCTAGTTTCTAAATCTTCAAATGATTTTTGATTTGTATTTGTATAACTTAAAATATTATCAAATTAGTGAGTAGAGTGCAAAACAAAAGACAACCACTCATCTTGGGTAGGATCGATCCTTCAAGGAAGGGATCAATTGATTTTTTACCTAGTATGCATCTTTGTACTCCAAGTTGAATAAGGGATTGATCATCCTATATAGAGGATCAATCACCCCCTTGAACCAATCAATCCCTTCAAGGAAGGAATCAATCGGCTCAAGGAAGGAATCGATTGGGTCATGCATTTTCAAGCGTGAATTGGTTCCAAAACATGAACCAATCGATCCCCTTATGGAAGGGATCGATTGGGTTTGCCCAGAATGTGCATAATAGCTAGTTTCTCAAGCTTTCAATGGCTATTTTCTTTTTCATGCATTCCCAACGGCTATTTCTTCAATTCATCTATAAATTAAGCACTCCAACACACCAAAAAGATTGATGAATCAAGAGAGCAAAAGTCAACAAGCTATATTTTCATTCTCTCAAAGAATTAATAGTTGTTAGAGCTTAAAAGTTTACATCTTTATATTTGTTTATCCAAATTATTATTGTTGTTCATTCATCAAATTTCTTTGTATTTCATTAGGCAAACACTTAGCCTTTTAGAGGTATTTTAAGTTTGCATTTTTATTAAGTGATTTCATAATCAAGAGGTGAGGTATCCTCTTATATTTATAAGATTGAAAGATTGCTACTTAGCCTAGGAAGTAGAGAGTGTAAGGTTTTTATCTTAAGCTTTAGAGAGAAAAAGATAAGGTTGTGATTTCAATTTAAGATTAGTAGATTGAAGCCTTGGTGTGGACAACCAAAAGAGAAGACATACGTGTCTTGTGGAGAAAAGGCCAAACCTCTATAAATCATTGTGTTTGATTTCTCTATCCCTATCTATTTACTTTGATTATAGTTTATATTTGCTTCAAGTTCATCAATTTGTTGTCATTTGCATTATATTGTGATATTGATTTTAATTTTTCATTTAATTATTTTGAAATCATTGTTTGGGAAGAATTTTCACCTTTTTGAATCACCCTCTCACCTAAAAAGGTAACAAATGGTATCAAAGCTTTGGTCTCTTTTTATAAGTTTAACCACCTTGAGTAAAGATTCTATGGCTTAATTCAGGATCCAAGATGGTGAGAAAATCCTTAAAGCTCACATGTTCGATAAATATGAATTTTATGAATGGAGAATGAGGATAAAAGTGTTCATAACAACCGATGATTTTAAAGCTTAGAATGTGATAAAAAAAGGGCTTAGAATTCTTTCAAATGATGCAAACTATATGAGGCACGTGATGAATGATGCAAAGGCCAAGTGAATTCTTTATGGAGCTCTTAACTCGCATAATTTCAACTTGGTCTCAAATTGCTTCACTTCAAATGAAATATGAAGGAAGTTGGATTAGTTACATGAAAGATAAATTTTTAACCAAAATGCATCATGTCTCATAGCTCTTGAAGAGCCTAAGGAACCTCTAACTTTATTGATTCAAATTCATATACCTTTAATGAATTACAAGATGCCTTTGATGAGTTAGTTATGAAATTTGAGTCAATAAAAATGAAATACAAGAAAATAATTTCAAAATTGAATGTTGAAAATGATTTTTTGATAAATGCAAAAAATATTTTGAAAAAAAATGAAAAAATGAAAATAGATTTTATGAACTCTCAAAATAGAAATGAATTTTTACAAAAGAAAATTTTGATTTGAAAAAGAAATTTGATGACTTGCTGAATGAAAAAAAAATCTTTTCAAGACTTGTTTAAGTGCTAAAATGATAAAATGTAATTTTTGTAATTTTCATGGTTATACTACATATACTTGTTCCATAAAAAGAAAAGTTTCATTTAGAATTA